AGCATGTGTTTTTTTTTTTTTTCTTTTCTCATTATTTTAAATTGTACTCCAATGGCTTTGAAGTCTTGAACATTTGATGAACACATTTCAGTGCTATAAAAAAAAATAATGAATAACCCCTTTAGTTTAGATATAGCAGCTCCTGAAGTTTTATAATGAGCTATAAAGGAAGATTTGTGCACCTGGAGGGCAATGAGATAAGGAGATGGCAAAAGGTAATCATGTTGTGTAGTCGTATTTATAGAAAATATTATTGTTACTTTTGACATTGCTATGAAAATAATTTTATAGTCACTGAAACTGAATAATGGTGAAACAATAGCTGAATTGTGGGAGGTAAAGACAAATAAATAAATTGTCTGATTAGAAAAATTGAATTCACCATAATAATAATAATAATGCAGGAACAAAAGGCAGTGACATTCCAGTAAAATAAATAGCTGTGGTATTTTGTAAATAGGGCAAAAAAGGTTAAATAAAAAAATGATGACATGATAGACTGGCAGATATTTATCCACCCATGGCCTGCCTGTTGACCTTGAGTCATGTGATCAGGGTAAGGTTTATTCTTCAGCAGTTTTAGCTTTGAACTTGATATTTGCACGGGTCGAACTAGAATCTGAACTTGATCTTCTAATGCATAGGAGCTCTTAAGTTTTAATCAGACTGTCTTGATTGGAGGGTATTGTTTTTCAAATGCCTTCGGTGTAATGGCAAGCTGAGCTCATACTGTAAAACAAGTCTTTTAAGACAGTTGTCTGCAAGCAAGGCTTTGTTAATGCGGAGTTCTTCTGCTGCACGTTACTATGTCTTCCTGGGATTCGGTGCAAAGATCACGGTAACGGTGCTTTTTTGTTTTCATTGGTATTTATCAGAAATCTTTTGTGCTCAGGAATTTTCTGCAGCAATGAAATTTAAAAATGATAAGCACCATTGAAATGTCAAATTAATAAAAAATGACACTGTTAGTACCACAGCTTGCCTCCTTCCTGCCACCTGCATGTTTTTACTGGCCAGTGAGGCTGCACATCATAGCAGTGGGCCAGAAACAGTGTGTGGGGCCAGGGCTTAGTGGCAAGCTCCAATACCACACTATCCGAATAAAAAACAAACTGTATTACCACGCCAAAATCAGGGCATAGGCATAGTGGAAAGTACAAAATCTTCTGCACAAAAGGTAGTGAGAAATGCTACACTAAGGGTTTCATTTATAAAGGGTTCACATAGCGAACAGCTCTGCAAATGAGATTTATAGCACATTATGGCCACTAGATGGAGCCGAGGAGCATAGGAAATTCCCATGCTCCTCTGCTCCATCTAGAGGTCATAATGCACTTAGAATCTCATTCGCAGAGCTGTCCACTGTGCAAAGGCTTTATAAATTAACACCACTGAGTGGAATTCCAATACTAAACAGTTGCCAATGGTATAGATGTTGCCTTTAGAAGATTTCCTGTTCTGGTAAAATCTCCAAAATATGAATTTGCAATCACTTTCTGTCTCGACAACAATGGAGCCAATAGAAAGAGAATTAATCCCCCTAGCAGGGACACGGACAACAATAAAAACGTGACAGGGCTCCTTCTTTTCGCTATACATACACTTTAAATGTCCATCTGTGATATACTGTAAATATGATAATGGAATGCAGATACTCGTTACCACTCTGTGACTGTAAATGGTTTAATGACACACATCCCAATGGTCAAGTAGGTTATAGGAAAATAATTCTTCGTACCACCTGAGTGAAGTTTGGCTGGTAGATCTTATAAAAAGCTGGACTTGTTAAATGTCATTTGGGCTGATGGTGTGTAAAGATGTTGCCTATCAATTATAATGGTGTTGGGCCTTTATCCTAGGGGGAGAGTGATGAAGGCGCCTGTTGTAGACATTAATAAAGTTGCATGACATTTAAAGCATACCTCTGGGGTGGTGTAACACTTTTAAAAGGTTTTGTATTTGGATAAAATTAACCCCCCCCCCCCCCTAGCTTTTTTTTTTTGCAGAGCACTCCAGTCCTCAGACATTGGGTTGCTTTATACCGGAAACTGCAATCACAACCTGCATGGTTGCTATGTAGCTTTCAGTACCACATCTCTATCACGGCATGCTTTCCTGACCAGTGAGCAGGCAGGTGACACAGGAGGTAGTGGAGTAACGTCCAGGGCATTGGTGCATACAGAGGGGTTAAACAGCACTGACCGGTGATTAGATAGGTAAAACAGTTCACATGTAGGTATATTAATGATGCATCTTTTTACTACTATGGACATTTATGCATATCTGAAATGCAGTCTTCTGAAGGAGGTGACATTTCATGGTCTTCCTCTTGGAGCAGCAAAATAAACCTCAGCCATTTTTACTTAACTCCTATTATTTTCATTAGAAACCGTAGTGCAGGCATAGAAACTGGTAATTGTACTGAGCAAATGTGTGTGTGTGTTTACCCAGACAAGGTTGTGAGGTAAGTAGGCCTGTCGCTAGGTGGAAATGTCTACTACTAAAAGAAAATTCAACTGAGGTTTTATCTCTGTTGGCTTTACTAAAGCTTGCAGAATGGAGTAGGGTGCCCACCATGTGTTTTTCTGGAAAGGTTCTTGGTGATGAAAGTCTTATATTTAACAAGCTAAAGGGTATTTTTAACAAAGTATTCACAGCATGAAAACAAACAAAGGAATTTTTCCATGGCATACTGCTTAAAAAAACCCCAGTGTTTCGACCATAGAAGGGTAAGTCATTTGAGGTAGAATCAGCTCAAGACTGATGCTGGAAGACCGATGCTGTGCCTAGCTATCAGTTCAGGCCACGTTCTAAAGTGGGTTTCATGTGTGGCCCTTCATCCATTCATGATGTATTAAGAACAAAGGCCTTTTTCATTTTTTTGTTTACATGTTATAATCCACATTTTAGGCCTGAAAATTACTTAACCCCCAAACATTATATATTTTCTGAAAGCCAAGACCCTATAGAATCAAATGGTGGCAGTTGCAAATTTGTATGTTGCACAACATTAGCGCAACTTATGATCAAACCCAAAAAGTTAGTAAAAATGCACTTTAAGTAAAATTTAGTGCCCCCAAACACTACATTTAAACCATTTTTGTAAAATATGAAAGATGAGGTGACGAGTAAATAGATACCCAATATGCCCAGGTTAAAAATTGTGTGCGTATTTGAAAACTGCGACAGTATTCAGTACCCCAAAATGTCCATAGACGACGCTTTAAAAGCACCTACAGGTCGTCAGTTTAGAGATGCATGTAAATATTGGCCCTAGAATTATTGCTCTAACTGACATGTGCGGCGTGATCGTCGTTTCCGTGCATAGACGCATCCGATGTGTGTTTACGTGACAACTCGCAAGGGACTTGCTATCGCATAGAGGGGCTTACAAGTCCCCCATGTGATAGCATGTTGGTGATGACATGTCCTCTTTAAGGTGATACTGGGGGTCCAAAAGACCCCTAGTATCACCTTTCCACTCTAAGTGCCTTCTGTACTTCAGTTGCTAATTTAAATAGCTTATTGCTGGGCTTCAGGAGCGCAGCACTGACAACTATGGGACCAGAAGTGATGTAATACGCGTCGCTCCCGGTCCCATAGAACAAGGAGGAGATCAGTGAATAGACTTTCACCCGCCTCCTCCCCAGCTTCCCACCGACACCTGAGATGTCAGTCCCGGGCCCGTAGGATGGGGCAGCGTAGCCCGGGAAACATGGCGAGTAGGCGCGGCCCGTTTACCAGATCGCAGAATTGATCTGGCGACAGCTGAGCCGCCAGAATCGCTTCTACTGTAAAGCCAGCCACCAGCTCTGCAATTTATGAACACAATTTTGAGTCCCGGTGGCTTGTCTGTTTAACCCCTTCAGAATTTATGACAGGATTATCCCACCAGGGGTCGTAAAGGGGTTAAGAACACAGCTGCATTCATTTGTGTGTGTGTGTGTGTGTGTGTGTTATACAGCCATTGTTGTTTGTCTTTTGCATGGCTTTTCTGACATTTTGCTTCAAATTTTCTTAATGAACAGATATAATATATTAAGCAGACCGAAAGGGAACAAATAAGACAAGTTCGTTGTTGGGGTTTCCATACATTTTAAGCACACAGCTTAGTCGCAGACCACACGCTTCATAGACAGTGACAGCATCAGATATGTTCTCTCCTTCTATCAGCAAGCTTACAACTTTAGATTAATATAATTGAGCAGTACAGTAGAAGCTAATTGGCTTCTCAAACTTTGGGTCCTACTGAGCAGGGTATAACAGAAAACTGATATAAAGCAGGGTCAGGTATGTTTGGGATACTAGCTGTATTTTAAAATCTATTTTTAGAAATTGAATAGGTAAAATGGTGGAATTTTATGTGTACACGAAGTTCAGCTTTGTGTTTTATAATGTTATATTCAGCGGTAGCACCATATGTGCCAATGCAGATGCGTGATTATTTATACTCTTCATTTATTATGGCATTGTGTTATCTTATTAAGCCACAATTCTGATTCCACAGGAAACGGCAGAGGAGAAATATGCAGAGGTAGATGGAGACTCTGCATTTGAAACAGATGCTCCAGATGTTCCATCAACTGCCGACAGCACGCCAAAAGTGCTCAACAATGCTCTGTCTGGCTTGTCATCCAGGTAATGAGGTTTCTTTTACATGTTATGTGTTTTTTTTTGCTTTCATCCGACATGCTGAAAGACAGGTAGGAACAGGGACACCGACACTCCAAATGCAATTCAAATACATCTATTTATTGATGTGGGTGCTTTGCATCAGTGCAATATGCTGTACCCAAAAAAAAATGGACGTATTTGAATTGCATTTAGAGTGCCGGTGTCCCTGTTTCTACCTGTGCATGTATTGGTTGACTACCGCAGCACCCATGCTGTCTTTTGTGTAACAAGCGGTCAGGAGTGTGATAGGTTCATGGACTTTTGTTTTTTATGCTGAAAGACAGAACCCCATGTATTTTTTATATGCCTTGTCCTGCAGTTCTGTGTATATCCCGGGTGCCGCTTATGCAGACAGGGAGTTGGATGGCTTCCGCTGCTCAAGGAGAGTGTAGATAATGTTTGCCCTGTGTTTTTTCTTTTACATGTGAGTGAGTCCTTAGCCTCATTCCAAAGCCTGAAAGACACATCCCGAGGTGTTTATCATATGCCCTGTTACAGTTTCAGAACTTGCACTGTAACTCTAGTCGCGGGTGCAATATTACCGTGTTCATTTGAAACCCCACTCCACTGAGTTTCTAATTCCAAATGCTGGAATTTTAGAACAAACTACAATACAAGAATAGGGTCGGTCCCCTCAAATTTTGACATTACATAGCCAGCCATTTTAAAGATACGTTATTTTAACGTTCTACAGAGATGTACAGGACTTAAGGTAAATGTTGTCACTTGTAATTCAGTTGCAAAAAAACATAAGAAGGTTTTTTTTTAATGTTTGAACATTAACTAGTTTTATTAACTCTTGACAGTTGGTACAGTAACAGTGAATATGTGTTGGTGGTATAGACTAGGGCTACAATGTAAAAAAAATAACGTAACAGCCATGTAGGCATCTTGTATTGCTGAAATAGGAGCGTACCAAGTCTCAAATGCTTTACTTCAATGTAGTGCTATTTTTGCATTGGCAAGAAAAGGTGCAATGTTTCAGGGGTACCCTTCATTAAGAAGTGTTACAAGGGCTTAAAGGGTTAATTAACCCTCAGCAGTTTTTGCATACATGTACTGCTAGCAAGCAATAGATATATGCAAAAACATTTTTTTTAAAAACCCAGACTTTTAAAAAGGCTTTAAACTTACCTGTGTCTCCACTGCACGCTCCCGTCCGAACATCTGAAGAGTCTCAGGCGGCCGCGAAGGATCTTGGGGCAGGCGCATGCGCAGTTCAGATGTTTGGCCAGGAGACGAGGAGAGACGCAAGGTAAGTCTATGGAGCAGCGTGCACCCGCACAGACTCTGTGGGACATCAGAGAAGAGGAGGACAGAGGAGTGAGTGCTGGATCGGAGACCCGCACCTGCACTGGGGGGACAGCTGAAAAGGACAGTAAGGAAGAAGATGATCGAATCAAGAGGCATCATTTAAGGTAAGTCCCTACAGCAGGATTGGGGTAGCAAGGGGTAAAAACATTTAACTAAATGTAACTACCAGATTAAACCCAACCTCCCCAATCACTGGAACTTTTATTGCTGATTGAACAATCACTGCAGTAAAGCCATTGTGTACTGGTGACATCCTCCTACTGTTTGTTCCATGAGGGCACCACCTGATCACTACATTTGGTGGGCAGGGGACTTCCTATTATTAAATCTTTAAGGCTGGTGCACTCAGCAAAAGTTTTAGCCCACATTTTTTTTTAGCAAACCATAAAAGAAAATACTTTTTGTGCGTTAATGTTTTATGTGCCATAATCTTTGTTGTCGATATATATTTGTGGAACTTAGAGTACATGTACCCTTTCATCTATTTGCCTAACTTCTCTTATTTGCTCCAGTCTGGTGACTATCCCATTGAAAGATTTTCTTTTTATCTGTTTGACAAATGCAAAAAACAAATTCCTGTTTCCGCCAGAAATCTAGTTGGCTAGAACATCTGGTGCTCTGTGCGTCTGCGGACTGTTATCAGTTCCATTGTCTCTCTGTGAACTCTAGAACATCTCCCCACTATGTAACTGAGATGAGAAGAGGGGAATGTAGCCTTGTCCTAGGGTGAGAACATTGCTGCTCCATAAGTACAGAAATAAATAAGAGCGCATTATCACCCTAGGACAGGAAGAGTGTTGCTGACAGGATCACCAGGTAGGGGAAAGCCTGGAAAAAGAAAATAGTGCAGCCAGCACATCTAAGGACTGATGAGCTGCAATATGTTACATATCTGTTGTAAATGCTTTAATAATGCTAATTGTTGTAAAAATGTTTTTATTTTTCAGATGGAAAAACTGGTGGATCCGTGGAATTTTCAGTTTAACAATGATCTCATTGTTTTTTCTTCTTATATATATGGGACCTCTGATGTTAATTATTTTGGTAAGCTCAAAAACCTTCTGTACTCATTCTCCTACTAAAGTTCACGTTCCCCATCCATACTATCCATGCTTCTCATGTTTATAAATGGTTAAAAAGACTCCTGTTGTACCTGACCTGAGGAAAGCCGTATTTAGTAGTGACGCTTGGAAGTTAGCTTATTAAAGGAAACCATGGTGATTACTAGTAATATAAATCACCAATTTTGATACCTTTTTCCCTTGGTGAGGAGCTGAGGGGGGGCATTACTATTACTGACCGTAGCAGACGTTTGCCTATTGTGACAACAGTAGAAATGAAGATAAAGGAAAACAATAACACACATTACTAGTGTATGGTGCTTTTATGTATTTTGTATAAACAGTTAATTAATTTAAGTGTTTTGTTAATAATTGTGCTGCGTGCCATTTAAAAGGAGGCAGTTTTATTTCTGCAGAGCCTGGAGCAATGCAAATCTAGTATGCTAGGACATATCTTTCAACAGAGGCAGGAGCCATATACCTGTATGTCAAACTGAAATCCAAATACTGCGTGCTGAGACTTCAAGTAATACAGCCATCGGCAATATGGAATTATAGTGTTCCAATGTCTTTAGTATTGCAGAGACAGGAGGCATTTGGGCCAGCTGGGATTTGTAGTTCCAAGCATCCAATACTGATGCCAATGGGGTATGCTGTGCTTGCTAAACAGTGCACTTCATCTATTTTGCATGTTGCCCTATATAGTATATACATAGTGGATGTAGTTATAGCTAAGGTCTGTATGTGTGTCCATCTCAACATAGCTTACCTGCAGTGTTATGCTAAGATTCCTATGACTGGAGAGTAGTCTGGAAGGAGTCAAGAGTATGGATGTACCCTGTACAGGAAGTCTGCAAATATTTCTGTTGATCTTAATTGCATTATTTACAAAGATTGTGTTTGGAAGCCCTGCACATGACATGAGGCTCTCAGACAACACAATATCACTTTGATCATTGTCAAATTCACACCCAGTTCTGAAGCCTCATGCTGAGCCCAACATACAGTGTGGCAACCCCGGGTAATACAAATGTCTCCTTGTTTTTCTAATACATTTAGTTGAAGTAAGCTATCAGCACAGGGAAGGTTCTGATTTGTCAAACCAGCAGTAATGTTTACTGTCGAGTACATAGCAAAGGAGTCATCCAAGTTAATTGTATTTGAAGCCATCGATTAGGATGGAGTCATGTGAAAAAACATTTTGACAAACTGGCCAATTAAAATCTTAGTGTATGTGTGTCCAGACTTATGTCAGTTCATAAAGCAATGATCATATGTATAGTTTATTTTAGTTTTGTAGCTAGATAATCATTTCAGTTACTATGAGGCAATGTGCACTTTACTATTGCTCTTTCCACCATCTTACTGAACATGGGATATGTACATACACCCAACCCAGAATTTGCATACAATTTTATTTAAAGGGGGACTTTTATGAATACTTAATTTGCTCAGCTTGGCTCAATGTAAGTATCCATATTTGATCTCCAGAGGGCTGCTGGGAATACTGATCTGACTAGTCAGCAGTGCACTACATACAGTGATGGCTACACACTGAGCACAGAGGATAATTCGTTTGGCACCACCACCAATTTAGTATTTTTGTTTGCAATGAATACAAGGTTTTTTTTTTTTGATTTGACAAGGTAGAGATTGTCATCTCATCCACCCCTCCTCTCCAATTCATCCAATCGGAGAACACACTAGTAGTTTTTAATGTGTAATCAGTGTAGATAAAGTCTTGTGATTTAAAGACGCTCATATAGGTTGACCCCGGCAATGGTCTGTGTGCTAATTAATACACCTGCATTCTAAAGGAACGCTTTATATTGTTGAACTCCGAAAGTTTCTTTTTATGCCTCAAAGTTATTTTAAGGTACTTGTTATAATAAAATACTTAATTGTTTCTATAGACTGGGAATCATGCTCATGTTCCTATACACACTAACATCGGCAGATCTAGGACACAAGGGGTGTGATACATAAATATATCAGAGTTGCTCCAAAGTCACTTCAGTTCTTTATGTTATTGTTATTCCTTGTTGTATGTGAACAAAGAAAGGTTACACCTTTTCATACCTTGATGGTTATTTTCTTTCATACTAAACCTTTTTAACCCCTTCATGACTGAGCTTGTTTTTAGTTTCAATGCTGAACGGGCAGTGTGCACTTGCGCACACCGGCCCGTGCGGCATTTATCTTACGAACATGCCACACACCCGCCAACAATCGTACGATTCTCGGCGGGTTTTCGAACATGTTCCTAAGAGAAAAGTCGTGCGACCTCTGCTACTGTAAGGTCGCACGACTTTTATCTTAGGAACATGTTCGAAAACCCGCCGAGAATCGTACGATTGTTGGCGGGTGTGTGGCATTCCACAAACCTTGCGATAATCGTCCGATCGCGGGATTTCCAGCGATTATCGTACGATTATCGCCAGGTGTGTGGGCACCTTTACTGATGTTAACAAGAGAAACACAATCCTCAGATTTGAGTCTTAAAGTGACAAAGGATAATTTTTTTTGCCCGCCCCCCAATGTTAATGTCAGCACTTACCTTAAATAATGTTTCTTAATCCGATCTTCTTTCCTGATGTTTTCATCTGTCCCTCCAACGGTGCGGCGGTAGTCCGATCCAGCGCTGACTCCTCTCTACTTGCAGGCACTTCCGATCCCGCGGTGTCTGCATGCGGGTGCACGCACCCATAGACTTACCTTGCGTCTCTGCTCATCTCCCGGCCGAGAATCCAAACTGCGCATGCGCCCGCCCCAAGATGCTTTGCGGCCGCATTAACGGTTTCGGATTCTCGGGCGGGAGCGCGCAGCGAAAACAAGGTAAGTTTAAACCGCTGTTAAATCGTTAAAAAAACAAACAAAACTTTTTGCATGTATCTACTGCTTGATAGCAGTAGATATAGGCAAAATAATGGAGGGTTTAGAACCCCTTTTAAGTCTTTCTAGTCCCAAGATTACTAGGGCCTCAGAAAAACCTGGATTCAGCCATTTTGCCTTTTAGAACCTTTTGTTTAATAACTTTCTGCTTCTGTCACTTTGTGTGTGCTTAAGTTGAATATGCTTGTTGTGGTGACTGTCTGTTTTGCTTTTTATTTGGAGTGGTGACCTTCTCTCCGTCCCCTCCTCTTGCTTCTTCTGTATTTGTGACCGCCCTCTAAAAATTGTTATCTTCCGATAGTCTCTAGTCACATCCTGTTGAGTTTTTGGAGGTTCTTCTTGTCCTGAATCACTCTTAGTAATGTTCTGATGGTTTTGGGTTTGAAGCGATCATGATTACGTTGTCTGTATGTGTGCTTTTAGTATTTTTAGGTTTAAAAAAAAAAATGTTTTTATTAACACTGTAGGTAGGTCTGCTCTTTAAGGAAAGGAAGCGGTAACTAGAAACATTTATATAGAAGAGAGTCAGGGGTCCCCACAATGTCCAATTCTGAGGAAGGGAAGGGTTTTCTCTCCAAAATGCTTAGATTGACAGCTGGGAAGCCCTACAGTGTGTAGTGAACTCGCAGGCACTTTTTTTCATTTCACCCCCTTTCTGGCCAAAAGCATGCTGTGTCTTTATACAGGATGCTTGTAACTCCTTTCCAGACATCACAGACCACAATGGGAAAGACACCTAAAGGATTATGCACCAGCAATCCAGTTTCAGGAGAGCAGATAAAAATAATAATTTGCAGTGTCAGCAATCCGTTACTGTGTACGCACTCTTTTATCCTAACCGAGCTTTATGGTGGATGCTTTACAGATACTTTGTTTCTAGTTGAGGGCATACAGCACTTTGGTAAGCATAGTAGACAAGTTTATAATACATAGGGGTATCGTTGTTAGAGCAGGTTTTCAGAAGGTACCTTTTTTTTGGTTCAAGTGTTTTAAATTGTACTATTTACTCTGAGTTTTGCAATTATTACCTATTTTTATGAACCGGTTACCTTGAGTACCAACAAATACTTTAGACAAGAATAATATGCAGGACAATTATCACAGGGCAAGAATAATGTGAAGAGTCCTTTATTCTCTTGCACAGCGGTCGCCAACCCCTTTCGGACTTTATGGACCACTAAATTCATAATTTTAAATCCTGCGGACCACTAATATGAGTAAAAATATATATATATTCTCATATTTTTAGTTTCCTCATATATATATATATGTGTGTGTGTTTTGTTTCCCCCCCTATTGAATCTGCCACTGGCCCTGCCGGTGGCGCCCGGGGCACATGCCCCCTCTAGCTTCAGCATTGCCCCCAACCACCCCGTGCCTCCCCCTTCCCCCACACTGAGCCACTATTACCTGGCTTCTCCCCACTTTTTCTATGTCCCGCAGCCTGCTCAGTCTGGGTACTGATGAGATGCCCCGCCTCCTGCAGAGCCCGGACTGTACTGAGAGCAGTGCATTCCTTGTGACAGCCGCTGCTTGAGTCGGTGAGAGGCAGCCCCGGAGCCTCCGTGCCGCTTCAATGATGGCCCAGCCTGCACGGCATCAGAGGGGCCCGGGGACCATCAAAATGTTCTCGTGGACCACTGGTTGGTGATTTTGTCTGCTTTTTCATTTTAGCTCTCTGAGGCCAGCTATTTTAGAGGGCATCTAAGTCTACTTTCATGTCACGTCCTAGTAAAAAGTTTGGGTTTTTTATTGCACAGTGGCAATAACCGTTATTTAACTAATCACCAACCAATGTGGCTTCAATTGTAAAGCTAGAGCTAATTACTCACTGATTAATCCCAGATGTTTTATTAAGAGGTTTTTATTCCAATTTGGCTTTGGTTTAGGATAAGGGTTGTTGTCTTATTTATTTTCTCTTTAATATTGAACGTCAGAGGGGCAGATAAATACATATGTGGGAACATATATATGTGGGTGCAATAGTTGTGTTTAGAAATACATTTCATTATTTTTATTAAATACACTTTTTTTTTTATATGTGTCTGGAGTCCAGCTTTATTGACACATGAAACCATTAATGATTTTGAATAATGAACACTATTGGGTAAACTGCATACACCATGGAAATTGCTTAGGACATTAAAAGCTATAATGTGTTTACTCAGTAAAGTTTAGCTGTATTTTAGTTTAAAAATTCATGACTTGCATTGTCCCACTCCACTCAACAAAAAGGTTTACTGCAATACAGACCTCAGATGCCAACACTATTTTACTGGCCTGGTCTGTGCAGCACCACTCAGTGTTTTATACTGAAATCACAACCTGTTTTAAAAAAAGGGAATATAGACGGCCCTCTCATTCCTGTTGACTGGGCACCAGGTGTTTGGACTAAAGCCCTTGCTCAATTTCAGAACGAAACACAGTCTAGCATTTCACAGGAAAGGAAAGGGGCTCGGCCCCTGAGGTCTGCATGGCAATAGATGGTTTATTGGCCACACATATCTATGCTTCTCGTATAGTATTGTGTAAAAAAAACAAGCATCTGCATATAGATCAAGCGCAGACAGCGCAACACTGTCCATAACCAACACAAAATGTGCTAAGAAATTTGTGGGACTTTGTTTGCCTTAAACCTAAAAATAAAAATGTGGTATATTGCAGCTTAGCACCCTTTTCTCAGAAGGAAAACTATACTGTTGCTTTAACTGCTTAAAAAGTGTTGGCTGGAATTCTGCTTTAATTTGTTAGTGAACGCCATCTAAATCTGCTTGTGCATCTAACGCCAACCTTCCCAGAGGGTGCCTGTGCTGCTGTCCAAGGGTGGCTTTGTCGCTCCTCCATAGAGTGGAGCCACCCTAAGACAGCAAGTGTGTTACTGGCCATCACCAGGCACTAATGTAGTCACCACCTTCAAGGATTGGTAAACTGCATTGTATTACATTTTTTTATTTTTTTTTATTGCTTAAATGCTTTAATTAATCCTGTTGAAAACAACCATTTGCGCTAAATAACTGTCATAAGTTAAACAGGAATTCACTTTCCACCTCAGTCCACGGGCTGATCTAAATCGCAGATGGTTATACTTGTGACCTTACCCGGGTCCCAGCAGTTTAAGTTTGTACATTGTTTAAAGTGTTTGTCTTTTACCCCAATGTGTTGCAGGTATCTGCTATACAAGTGAAATGTTTCCATGAAATCATTTCGATTGGCCACAAAGTATATCGCTCCTATGAGTTGCCATGGTTCAGATCTCTGAGCTGGTAAGTAGTCCGATTTTATACTCCACCACAGTAAAATGTCTACAGTTCTTATGTACATGTCAAAAATAAATGCACTACAAAAAACGATGAATTTCTGCAAACAATATAACAACATCATGCTTCTAACTACCAAACCATAGGGGTGTAAAACAGTGTGATGTCTTGGGTTCAATAAGTGAATAGCTCCCAACTGCCTTTTATTTGGAACCGAATCCCCCTGTCCCTCTTTATACAGCTTTACATTTGTCATGCAACCTCTAATTTATTGTATTTTGAAAAAGAAACCCAGTATGATGAATAAGTAGTGGTGGCCAAACAAGTATCTATTTATATTATGTCATTAGTTTATAAACTGCAGCAGATTTTATTCTTCAGAAAACAGGCCTCTAGCTTAGTTATGTGTTTTAAGCCCTTTACTCTGCTTTAAAGGAATGGAATGCTTCATCCAGCTCCCTTTTTTCATTTCAAGATCCAATTAGGCCACAGCACAGTATGATTTAGACAAACTTTAAACGGCTACATGAAAATCCTGTTTTTCTTCTCCTGTTTGGAAGAGACTTGGCACTGCCTTCATTTTGTAGGAGGCAGAGAAAGGACATGTAATTGGATTAAGGCTGGGTTCAAGCCTTTTTTCTGAGAGTCACTAGCACAGCGTGCAACTCTCCAACATCTCATTGTTCTAAATAATCTGAGCCGACCTGTGACAATGAAACTGTCACAGGTCGGCTCCGTAGATCGGGAAGTGAGCGAGCAATACCGTCGCTCGCTCACTTCTCGATCTATCTGTGCAGAGAGCCGTGACTGTCACTCACGGCTCCCTGCAGGGATTAACCCCCCCCTCTCCTGTCCGATCCTCCAGCGCTGACTGGCGGAACGGATGGGGGAGGGGGCGCATAGGCAGAGCCGATGTCAATCCTGCAGCGGGATGGATCCAGACAGCATTGTCGGGATCCGTTCCAGCTGCGGCGTCTCAGTATACCGCGAGCTACTGAGCTTTGGGTGGCGGGAGGACGCTAGTTTGTGTCCTCCCGTTACCCTTAGGAGAACTATGGGGAAAAGCACTGACCCCATAGTTCTCCTTTTTAAAGTAAAACTCAATTTTAATAGAATAGCGAGGTATTGTTTTAAAATAAGCAGCAGTAGAAATCACTAAACATGGCCAACTAATGTTTTACTGTGAGAAATCATTGGTGTGTTTAATCACATGGCCGTGTTTTTTTTATTTTTTGGGCCAGCTTGTTTTAGAAACGGCCTCTAAAGTGCTCTTTGATGTGATTATAATCGTCTTTATCACTGTTGCATAATCTAGAACAGTTTGTGCTTACCCCAGCTGACCATAATGGGGAAACATGAAATCTTAAACTCCAGGCAAACAAATGAAATACATATTGGAGCTGTTTTACCTGCCAAAGGATTTGTATTTACACCCCAATACACACACACACACACACACACACACACACACACACACTAGGTTGGACTTGATGGACATGTGTCTTTATTCAACCTCAAATACTATGTAACTATGTATTTCTGTTGATCTAGTGCTGAAAATTACACAACTCTACTACAAAGCACAGCTGGCCTGGGGACCTGACTTTTCTCTGCTGCAGTTAATCACCACAGTCTGTAATTGGACAGTGAAAGAGCAGTAACAGACTGATTAAGTCATCTGTGTGCTCTCTCTTCCTGTCAGCATGTTCAGTGCATGCAGGAAACTTGGCTAGCCCCCAGTGCTATCCCTCCCTCTCACAGTCTGAGTTCTGTTGTACAGGAGATTACAAGAGCATAATATCAAGTCAAAATCATATGCAATTTGACTTTATTGCACATGTAATTTTATATTAATTGCATTTTATACTACTTTCTTAATGATTTATGACAGTGGCAGCACTCATATGTAAACATACCCCAGGCCACTTTAGTAGCCAGGAGTTTACATTCTTTTCACTGACCTGCCTGTTATGTAGAATTGCTTTTTATTGCCACCCAATCACTTCTTTATCTTTTTGCTGATCTACTCTAGGTACTATGAACCCAGAAGCGCTCAACTCTGAGCAATTCAGGGTTCAATACAGTCAAACATTGGCCACTGTGACTGGGGAAGAAGCGGATCCCCCTCCAATCACTGTTTAAAACAAGCCTGGTGGGCTGTGACTCCTATCATCCTGAAGATTCTGCATCAGACACACTTGCAGATACCTGCGTTTCCGCTGCATTCTGTGATTCCACCCACTGGCTGCTATGTCACTGTGTCCAGTAGTGACTTGGCAGTGTACTGGTAGAAACAGGGGACTCAGGCATCCAACACACCCAGGTGCATGCATCCCTTGCAAAGATAGGAGTCACTGCCCTATGTACTGGTTAGTATTACTGATCAGTTGCAGGGTGGCTTGTTTTTTTTACAAATGGTGGTGGCTGCTGAGTTGAGCTTTAATAATTACATAACTGTGTTCATTGGTGGTTTACTTAATACCAATTTGGAGTCGGCTGTAATGATCTATTTTTTTTTTTTTACTCTGACTGTAGTGAACTTTATTTATATGCAAGTATGAATAATTCATTGTATGCAGTTTTGTTTCAATTGCAGGTACTTTCTCTTGGGTGTTAATTATTTTTTCTATGGAGAGACCTTGGCGGACTATTTTGCCAGCTCTGTTCAGGGAGAAGTGTCCCTTCAGTTCCTCATTCGATATCATCGCTTCATATCATTTGCACTTTATGTTATAGGTAAGTCTGGGACTCGCACCTCTCCCCATCACCTAGCAGAAATAAGAATGTCTAAATTAGCTAGAAAACCATGTAGTGCAGGGCTTCCTTTTTTAGGAAGCCAAGCAAACTTTGCGGACTGAATTTTAGGGCCCATTGATACTTTTAAGTTTCGTTCGGGCATGTATGTGTTAGCCCTGCCTTGCATTAAGGCAGACCATTTAAATGGTCTGTCTAACACACCAAAAAGTGCACATAGAATTTTTGGCAGCGCATTGCAAAGCATGTTATTGTGTTACCGCACACTGTACTGCAATACATGTCCATTTGTGAGGTGTGGTGTTGTGCCATTCACAATGAAGAGCATCGCATTGCACCACCATGTATTAATGTCCTTGCAGTAACACACGTGTGAATGGGCCCTTAAAAATGCACTCTGTTATAAATGTTTGTGGAAAAAAAAGTTAATAAATGATATAAAAACATAAAACTTATCAAAACCGTTGTTTCCGTTTACACATGGATGCCTTTTTATAGACAAAGTAAAAATCTTGTTGATATTGTTGCTGACCAAATTTTACCTGTTGTAGTTTGTTGTGGTAACTAAACTTTGTTTTTTCAAAGAGAAAGGAGGCTTATTAAAAAGGGAATGACGGAGAACATGGATTAGGAATCATGTCGCAAACCTGACCACTTCAAACTGAGTATGAAAGTAAAAATAATGAGAGACTTGGGCTATATTCTGTATGTCAAGATGATCAGTAGACCCAGAAATAATATGCAAATATGCAAACCATACACGGAAATAAAAATCACTTGATTCTTCAATCCATGTTAAACAGTGTGAATGGACAAATCTCCCCTACTGGTTGTTGGATTTTGTAGTCAGTATATACGATTATCAGCCAATGCAGCTGCTGTCCCTGTTTGGTCAATCCTTTTTCTGCCCGCCCCCTTAGATTTAATCAAAGTTTGTTGAGCCAGGCTCGACTTTGAATCGGGTCATACATGGCTTAACTTTGCCCAAAATATGAGCTGTGGAAGACCCTGCCCACATCACCTTGTTCGCCAAACTCCACTTGAAAGGTGTTGTGGACAGGGCCATTGACAACTCAAATTTTGGCCAATTCATAAGAATCTGCTGAGATTCAAGCCATGTATGGCTCGATTAAAGGCTGACCTTGGCAATGCCTGGCCCACTTTTTAAGCCTCCCGGTTTGGTCAGTGGACCTTGCATGTTAAAAATACAATTGGGAGGCATGAAAGTGTGGAGACGAGCTTGACAGGGAAATTCTAAATTTGCATTTGACTTCTGATGCTTCTATCTCTAGCTCTATTAGTTGTTTTGGTATGTGGTCTTCACTAAAGATAAAGTATGCTTATAGAAGTTTGTACTACATGCTCAATTTAAATTTCTCAGGTTTGTGACAACTTTACTTAAACATTAACCGCATGATACCTTAATGATAAGGTTATCTTTATTCAATATTCTCATTTTACTACAATGGGACATGTAGTTCTGTTTTGAAGTACAGACATCCTCCATGCAAACCCAGCTTTCTGGCACACTGTTAAAGAAAAATATATCAGTACATAGGAGAATAGTGTTCGTATTCTCTTTAGAACCGAAGCAGATATGATTATTCGGACATTTTCGCTTAAACAATTGTAGTTTGTAATTCTTTTAAAATTAAAGTGATTTCTGTGTATATTCTAGAAGTAGTTTTCACTGTGTTCACTCGCAGCAGTTAATATGCACGTAGTTGCAATTTAGAAAGTACGAAGCGCATTGTTCTCAGTAAGTGTTTATATTGCAGTCATTTTATTAAGTATGTCCTCAGAGTAGAAGTGTCTCTCATTGCTGCAATATGAAAGTAAATATTGTCACTGGTCTAACCCTTTATGTCCCATGTAACTTGCACAAGCTTAACAATTCTTTAATGATTTACTTGTTACATTAAAGCATATCTAAACTCAAAAATTTGATCAATTGCAGCTTGGCAATCTTTAGATGTTGTGGAGATAATTGTTTTTCCTTTTTCAGGTTTTTTTTTCTTGTTTTTGACCTGGTGGTTCTGCAGGTAACACACTTCCTGTCCTAGGATGACCACATTCACTCGCTCTTCTGTATCAGGACAACAGAAACATGATAGGACCACAGTAATCCACCCTTCTCCATAACACAAAGGAGGGTGGTTCTGTAGTCCTCAGAGCTAAGAACAATTTAACTGTTAACGTTCTACGCTCTCTGCATGCGCTGACTATGATCAGATTACAAGATTTCTAAAAGCAGAATCAACAGGTATTTTTTTGAAGTTATCAAACAGATATAACAAAACATGTAGTATATTTTAGGGATGTTAGATAGAAAAAAACTGCGCTAGGAATCAAATAACACTCTGAGAGCAGCTGTGCTTAATAGGTGAGTACACCCAAAATACGAAAAAAAAAAATAGCACTGCCCTTCAAACTCAAAAATTATATTCCTAAAATGTGAGAAAAATAGTATGAAATGTAAAATTGTCACAAAGTGATACACAATTTTGTGTCATACACAACACCAGTGTTGCACAATGCCTGTGCTGATGATAGTAAAAAAAAAAGCTCTAGGTCTAATGGTCTAAACTAGGGTTGCACAGATACCAAGTACAGTACTTGGTACAAGTACGAGTACATGTACCAATACTTTTGAGCTCCAAGACTACACTAGAGAAAAATTCAAAAATTAGGAGGCAGCTGTCATTTGTAAGGAGCACACGGAGCTCCTGGGATTAGTACATCTCTGTTTTAATGTACGATTTTGTTTTTATAAATAAAGGGATGCACCAATACCAGTTTTGCGAGTACGAGTACTGGTACTTGCCAAGTACTTACAAGTACGAGTACTGATATATTTTTGTTTATTGTCATGTGACAGTTTTTCTAAAACAATACAGACTAATGATTTCAGGACAGTGGTGGAGCGCCAGAGCCAGGTCCCAGCTGCAACCGCTGCAACCCTGGTAGTTCTCATGAAAATGCCAAGTATCGGCACTGGTACTCGAAAAGTATCTGTGCATCCCTAGTCTAGACACTATAAACCATAATAAACATAGAAAAAAGAATGTGCTAGTACATCTCATAAAATGTTTACATATAGAAAATCCTGTGTTAAATGTACAACTTCCTCTTAATCTACATAACCACATGTGAAGTCTATTACTTCTTGATACATATAAAGTCCTTGAAATATGTGAGGATATATCTTCCAACTTTTATAATCAACACCACGTCCGTGAATGCATAAACAATTGGTGAACCAGTGCTCTCCTATCTCCACCGTGCTCAAAGATAAGATCTGGCTGCACTCACCAACTCCTATTGCTCACCATATTTCAGATGAACAATTAGCGCTTTGTTGATATATAGAACCAAACCCTCTTTAGTTTTTTGATCCGGCAATAAATTGGGGTAGATTCCTCCCAACTCTGGCTTATCTTTCCAAAACTGTATAAAACTATTCCTCCATCTTCCACCTTCTCTTGTAAATTAAAATAAGGCAATTGCACATGGATTGTGTCCACTGGAGCTCCTGTCTCTATGATTGTAATGCTCGCATAGATCCGCCCACCTGATGCATTTCTTCATTATTGACTTCCTCTGAGGCGACGGTCTGCAGTTGATGAAATGCATCAGGTGGGCGGATCTATGTGTATGTATGTATGTGTGTGTGTGTGTGTATATATATATATATATATATATAATCTATTAAAATCCTCTCCTTTTTGTTTTTAATCCGACAATAAATTGGTGTAGATTGCACATGGATTGTGTCCACTGGACTGTCTAGACCATTAGACCTAGAGCTTTTTCTTACTATCATCCGCACCGGCATTTCCAACACTGGTGTTGTGTATGACACAAAATTGTGTATCACTTTGTGACAATTTCACATTTCATACTATTTTTCTCACATTTTGGAAATATTTTTTGAGTTAGAAGCTCAGTGCTATTTTCTTTTTTCATATTTTAGGGATGCAATGATACCATTTTTTTTGGTATAGAGTATGAGTATAGATATTTTGTTTTTCGGTACTCGCTGATAACTAATATCGATACCGGAAATCTCATTAAGGAAGCCGGGCAACGAGTCATTACACGCCGCCCGGCATCTTGATTAGCCGTGAAGCCGGCTCCATGCTCACTTGTCATCATGAGGAAGCATGGAGCCAGCTTTCTGGCCAATCTGAAAAAAGGGGGGTGGATAACGACCTTAACCCTTGTAGTGGGGCTACCCCTGTACATTTATGGCACATGCAGAAAATAAAGCTGGATTCCAGAGGCAATGTAACTTCTGTGCGCACTCATCATAAGTGGCCCAAGAGGACCCCCGGGGAGTCTAAAATAAAAATCATTAGGGAGTCATTACACACCGCCCGGCTTCCTGGTTGGCCGGGAAGCCAGCTCCATGCTCCCTGGTGACAAGGGAGCATGGAGTCTGTTTCCCAGCCAATCAGGAACCCGGGCGGTATGTAATAACTCGCCGCCCAGCTTCCTGATATTGGATTTTCCGGTATCGGGAGTATTTGGTATTCTGGTATCGGCGCATCCCTAGTATATTTAGCAGAACAAATGGGACCAAATTTGCCCATTTGGAACACTTTGTCTTATGTAAAGTTGAGAACCCAATAAAGCTGAACTGCTGCAAAAAAATAATTCACACTGATTATTAATCTTTGTGTGAATGCAACACAAGATGCAGGTTGCTGTATTTTTTTTTTTGCTTTAAAAAAATATAATGTTGCTAACAAGTATAGCTACTGTAGCCTGTGGCAGATTTCATTGCCCCAGTATTTACTATTACCTGTGTTAAAGTACACATACACACATTACTATGGCCCCTATCACTGCGATGGGCTGCCTTATTGGCAGGAGGAGGGGTGAGCAAGCTCTCTCATCAGGAGGTGGCAGAACTTTGCAGAACCTCATAGATGCTTTCACTGTTACCTACTTTTTCTTTTTTGTTCACTTTTTATAAGCCACAGAGCCACTTTAAGCCGGCCACCAGCATTGCAGCCTGATGGAGCAGTCTCTTTTTTTTTTTAAAGTATTCTTTATTTTCGGTTTTTACAATATAAAACAAAAAGAAGAAACACATATGGAAGAACATAAAGAGGTAGACGTTTTGAATGACAAAAGCATAAAGAAAAACAATTTCCGGATTTAGTATACGGTAGCTAGTTGCCACTTGGCCTTGCGAGCAGGTGCCATTTAACAATATGTGTTTACACAGTAATCGCTATTCAATAATAACCAGGTGTCGAGTTCCGGAGTGGGGAAGGGGGATATAAGACGAGAAAAGGGAAAAAGGCAGTGGTTAGAAAGGAGGGGAAAGGCAGAAAAGGAAAAAAAAGGGGGTATCCCTGATCAGTCACCGCCCACGGGCAGCTACTCCGATGAGAACGGG